TCAGTATTTCGATTCTTACAAAATCCGGGAAGAACGTATTCCTTCTCGTCAAGCTATGTTAGCTATCAATTTTAAATATCTTCCCATTTTACAAGAATGGAAATTTGATAAACTATTTGATCTTGAACCCATCGTTTACCATCAACTTGTTCGTATATTCTACTCTAATGCCGTATGTGTTAAAAACCAAGCTGAAACCGAAACCATAGGAATTCGTTCCTACCTTCTAGGACAATTCTTATATATTGACCCGGCATATATAGCCAATACTTTTGGATTAGATAATGATGGTATTTCGAATGAAAAACAAATCTTAGGTTCTCGTTATAAAAGAAGGGATAGTGCGAGTGTCTTAGACCTACATGAGCGTTTTCTTCATCTAATGATTTCTTGGTGGTTTCGACCATCCGGAGGTCGTTATTCTACTCTTAGAGCTTTGGATCTTTGGTGGTTACATTGTTTTGAAAACCGTATTAAAATTAACCTACCTCAGATTATTTTTGCTGAAATTGTTGAAACCGTAAATCTTGTTCCTAACAAGAAACACTGTTCATCTCTAGTTTACGGTTGCTTTTTGAGTAATCTGTTTTCCAAAGCTGGGCTTAGAGTCGGTCTAGATGCCGTTTTTCCTCTTAAGAAACAAATAAATCTTCTTTCCTTAACGAGAGCGGGATGGGTAAAGGACAAAGAAACCGGTGAATGGGTTCGTTCTTCTACTCCGGGAGCTAGTTCTTCACAAGCTCCACCCGAAGCTGACGAAGATCCCGAGTTTGAACAATTAATGAGGGATATTGATGAAGTTGAAGAAGAACCTGATCAGCCCGAAGAGCAGCCCGAGGAGCAAGCACAACAAACGCATCAAATGCCTCCATATTTTCAATCCTTTATGGAGACATTCGATTACCGATACGCTACCATGGACTCGCGTTTTTCCTCTATAGAGTCTCATTTATCCACAATGGGAGCTCAACAATTAGAGATTCTTCGGGAGATGCGTGCAAACAATGAATCAACCAACGCTCGTATCAATGAACTCACACACGAGATGGCCGCTATGCGAGCCCGTTTTCCTCCTACCGATCCGGATGCTTGATTTTATGTTTAGCTTTAAAACCTTGAACAAAATGAATATTGTTTCAACATTTTGATATGTTTGATTTTGTGGATTGTTGGATTTTGGATATATGAATGGTGTGAACTTATATGTTTGGTTTGTTTTATTCATTTTTGCATCATTTACATTATCATTAGCAATATGACCAATTTTGCCATATCACATTATTTATGAATATTGATTTATGAAACTAATGGCTAACCTCTCTTTTGATTATGATCTTAGCAGCTTAAGCTTATAATTAATAAATCAATTGTCTAAACGATTTACAAAACCTTGTTTTACAATGACTTTTTGATTTAACAAAAAGGGGGAGAAGAATTAAGTGTTAAAGTAAGGGGGAGTAATTTCTAATAATTTCTAATTTCAAAACTTGATTTCAAAAATCTTAAAATTACTAAAATGTTTTGTTATATCAAAAAGGGGGAGATTGTTGAAACATTTTAATATTTCGATATAACAAATTAAGTTAAATGAATTTTAAGATTTTCCAAATGATTTTCTAAGTATATTCGATATAACTATTCGAATATCAAAACATTACTCCAAATATTTCAAAAATCATTTTTGATCCTTACTTAAGTGTAAAATTAAGTTTTAATCATAAAACAATTTCAAAATATTTTATAAAGTATTTCGAACCAATTCAAAGCCAAAAATTCCAGATTACTCAGAGGGAACCGATTCCCCCCCATAGGAGGAACCGATTCCCCCCTGAATGGTTTGGCTCCGAGATTTCCAGAATGCTCGGAGGGAACCGATTCCCCCCCAAGGGGGTACCGATTCCCCCTTGTTCAACGGTCGAAATATTTGAATTTTACACTTAGGGAACCGATTCCCTATGAGAGGGAACCGATTCCCCCCACTGTCCAAGCTGTTTTATTAAATGTTTTCACACTAAAACGGCTATAATATCTTCTCTAATTATCCCCAACGTTCAGAAGTGATCCAAGGTGTATTTAAGCAAGCTTAGAAGCCATTGATCAAAAAGAAGAAACATCAAGCAACTAGAATCAAGAGAGAATCAAAGAGAAAGCATCAAACCTCAAGTTTGAGCATTTCAAGCCCATTTTCATTCAATATTCATTTTGCTTTCAAGAACACTTTTTGTGCTCAATTGTATTCATCTTTGAGTGTTCTTTTCTTTGTTCTAGAATTGTGCAAACATCTTACCTTGTGAGGTTTTCTTGTAAGTTTGCAAATTTGTAATCTTCTCTTTGAGAAAAGAGTGTTCTCAAGAGTTGGGGTATACTCTTGAGGAAATTGTAAGGTTATCTCTTTGGCCTCAAAAGAAAGAACAAATTAGTGAATTTGTTGGAAAATCCTTAGTGTGGATAGCTAAGGTAGTGGACGTAGACTTTGTTTGAGAAAGTCGAACCACTGTAAATCGCTGTGCAATTGCTTTCAATTTTCTGCAAAAGCTTCCACAAAATTTTTATTGCCAATTCACCCCCCTCTTGGCCAATTTCGTCATTCGATTAACTCAACAAGTATAATCCAAAATATTCATTCACAACCCAATGTATGACAAATGAGAATGCAATGTACACAATAAGCATCTAAGTGCAGCAATAACGTATAGGTATTGTGGTACACGACAACACTATACTAACCATTTCCGGAGTAGTAATCCCGTACGACTACCATCCTTGCACACAAAGTGCCAAAGTACACAAAGTACTGGCACGAAAATGCAATAATGCATTAAACAAAATCGATAGATATCTATTACATACCAATTATGTCAATTACATACATAGTGCTACATTACACAAAGTACTACTACAATACCACCTTATTTATGGTATTACTATTGCACCTATAACTCTCCATGTACATACAATAGGCTTTAAAATCTAAATCGCATGTTAAACATTCGTTCCAAACCACCAATAAATAATAATTTGTGTGAAACACATCCATTTGTTTAGGGCAATTCATACCCTAAAATCAATTGTAAAATCATTTTCATAAAATTTTATGAAAATATTTCAAAATGCGTTAAAACATATTTAAATAAAAATACTCGAGGTTGACTCATCACAAGTAGTCCTCATATCATATAAGTACATAATAAATGCACTCACCTTATATGCCTCACTATTATGCCTTACTATCGAAATCCGATTATTCTTAAACTTTTCCTTGCTTTTCGCTTTGCTCGAATCACGAGTTCGATCACGATCTACACGAGCATCCATACAAAGTATATATAAATATGAAATACATGTTAGTATTCTTACAAATATTTCATACTTAATAATAATACTCCAAAAGTACTATTATTTTCGAATTCTTCTAAAATTCATCTTAATTTTTTCCTTTCTATTCATATTGTGCTCTTGTCATTAATTCTTCAATTCGAAGCCAAAATAAGCCCAATAATTTCAATAAATAAACATTCAGTCCAAATACCTCAACAATGACATATTTACTATTTAATCCACTAACTTTCTCAGTGTTTACCATTTATCACTAAAACTTTGTCAACTTTCCAAAATGGCTAAATTTCAAATTCTAACTTCAATTTCAGTCCCCAAAATAGTAAGATCCAGCATAATACAACAATTATTGAATAATTATACAACAGCCCACAACTTTTTCACAATTACCAATTTGGTCCCCCAACTTTCACAAGATTACAGATTGGTCCAAAAAAATTTCTAAGATTTGTAGAACCTTTCTAATATCATTTCTAAGCCACATGAAATTTTTCAAAAAATTTTCCCATCGTCTTCCTCAAGGTCGAATGGTTTATGTACCCAAGACTAGGGTTTTCATGATTTTACTCGATTTTAATTCGATTCAAGCATGAACTCAACCTCAATTCAACCTTATACAATCTCTACAATCAAATCCCTAATCAAATTTCATCATAACATAAACTTCCCTAAATTTTAGGGTTTGGCCGTAATTACCAATAGCTTGTATAGACATGTATAGTTGATTTTAATCGTCAATCATGCTTGGAAATCGTTCTACAACCTCAAAAACATCAAAATTATTCATCAATTTTATAAAACCTAATGTGAACATAAATCCTAGAATTTAGGATCTTTGAACAAAAACCAAATCAGCAAACAATAAAGGTACCAAATGATAGCGTTTTTCGTGGAGAACAACTTTCTATTTCACGACATGATCCAAAATCCAAAGGAAATTGCTCAAAATGAGAAAGAAATTTTCTCTAACCTTGTAGGGGGTGCACGACCAAGGGGTTGAAAAATGGCCTAAGTTTCATGAAATTTGCATGTAATTTCATGTTAATTTAAGTTTTATTTAAGTTTAAATGAATAAAATATTCATTTAATGAGAAATGTTCATTTTACCATTAATGAAATTTGATATTTACAATAATACTAAGCCACATAACCTTATCATATTTTCAAAATCAAATATGAACAAAATATTTTACCCTTTTTCAATTTTACTAAGCAACTTTCCAAAAATTGCAATCTTGCCACTTTGATCCAACGATCCAAATTAAACATGGAAATAAATCTTCAAATCCAATTATTCATATTACTTTCCATCGTTTTAATGTGTGAAAATAATATTTTTAAGCCTAATTTATCATCCTTTAATTTTTCTTGAAATATCTATTCGATCCGATTTACCGATTTCTTATCAAACTTTAACCCTTTCTAGTTTTCAACGTAAATTCTGGATCAAGAATATGATTTTAATAAAAAAAAGCCAACTCTCGAAAGTAAACTATCTATTTATGGAATAAAAATTATTTTTGAGAAAATTACCACTTAGGTCCATGAACTTTGTCCATTTTTATACTTTGGCCACTAAACTTTCAAAACTTATGTTTTGGTCAGTGACCAAAATTTGGGGTATTACACTAGGTGAGGGGGTGGTGGTGACTTATAAATGTAAGGAGGTGATGGAGGTGGTGATTTGTAGTAGTATGGTGGTGGGGGACTAGGAGACGGTGGAGGCGGTGACTTGTAAATGTAAGGAGGAGGTGGTGGATGGGAGAGGGTGGAGGTGGAGACTTGTAGTAGTAAAGAGGAAGTGGTGATGGAGATGACGGAGGTGGTGACTTATAGTAGTAAGGAGGTGGTGAATTGTAGTAGCAAGGACGAGGAGAATGTTTGTCCTTTGGGTGGTGTGGTGGAGGTGGAGAAGAATACTCATAAGATTTGTAATCATCAACCACACTCGTAGCTACAAGACAAAATGACAAAGCAAGGATGAGTCGAGGGAATTGCCCCATTTTCCAGGCAATGCAATTCCTAATAGCTAAGAAAATACGACTTGGAATTCACTCCACAAGGCATATCCATGAACAAGAGATGGTCCCCTTTATATAGTCATCTCCTCAATCATGAATAAAATAAATTTCTTGAGATAACATGAACAGCAAGCTGGAACTTAATATAATTCCAACACTAACATACATCTGACCTTAATATAAAACTCCAAATCGCCATCACAATTGGTTGTTTCCCTTGAAGTGTTTGGGTTTGTTTGACTAATGCAATGGACCTCGAAAGATGAGGTCCACTGAACCAAGTATAAAATAAAAACCCCCAACGCGTTGAAGCTGAAAGAACAGGTCTGATGATGACTCTTGCAGTATAATAATATGGTTTTAAACTGAACAATCAACATGCAGGTTGGTGCCGGTTAATGTTCCATCAGATGAGTAGAAGCAACTTGGAAATTCTATTTTGTTTTTAATCTTTTGAAAACGTGTGTTATGTTTATTTTTCATGTGAATGCCTCCACTGAAGTTTTCAACAATTGATGGATTTAAATAATCATACCATTTCACCACGAAATTCTCCCAACTACTGTGATTAATTTATCAAGGGGAACAGTGGTTATCGAAGCTTCTATTTCAATTGTCTGATTTTTTTTCCGACAAGTGTCATAATCGGGAAGCCTTCAAAAAACTTGTGTGCGTTTGAGGTTAAATGGTTGACCACTTTCTCGAGAAAGAGTGTGATGGTGATTGATGGAAATTCGTAGCAAATGAACAATAACTGGAAAATAACAAATATCATCGAAAATTTACACAACCATCTTCGACCCAAATAGAAGGGAAATACCCAAAATCCAAATTCGATCAAGAGCAAACAAATATTTGTTTTTTTTCATGTTCATCGTGATTGTCCCTTAATGTTTTGAGCCATCGCCAAATACCTCTGTATAACATACAGGGCAAGCCTGGAGAAGTAAAGGTTCAATTAGCAGGCTTCCTAAAACGCTTGCCTAAATAAATGGAATAAAGCTTCAATCATGAGAGCCAGATGGTTACCTTGTTGATGCTAAGCCATTTGGTGCCGCATCCAGCATGGTAGACATGTTTGCAAGGCAGTGTAATCCGTCTCTCACCTCTTTTGTATTCCATCTGGCATATTACACATCTAGTCCCCGAAAACAAAAATAATAATAATAATGAGATTCAACAATTGGCTGAGAGAAAGGGGAAGAAACCAAAGGAGGGGAGTGGAATCCATATACTAAAAACAGCTGCAAATCTCACCGGAACGTGCAAGCAAGGCATGCATATTATTCATACACGACTAGTTAGACCAACGCATTATCACAAAAATTAACATGACCTCGCAAACCAGTAAAATTTATATCAAGAACTAGGCTTGTCGTGTCGTGTATTTCAATTTAAAATCTGTTGAATACCATTTGCAGCAGCTGATAAAAAAAAAACAAATCACATTTTAACAGGGACAAAAGTAAAGGCATTACCTCTCATTCTTTGATTTCTTCCTTGAGAATAAGCTGCACTTGTATTTTGAAACGGGTAGCAAAGAAATAAGTTCTTGGGACAGACCCCGACTTTGTGTTCCAACACTCTCGCCTAATTCAAGTAATTCCTAAAATGATAAATGTAATCAATTAAAGCAATCAAAAAATAATTCACAAATACACAACCCATGTTTTCTAGAAATGTATGAAAATGTCCAAATAGGTTTGTTCAATTTTAATTTGTTACTCACAAACCAATGGGATCTCATTGCAAAAAATAAAATAAAAATTTGTTTCAAAGCTGCATTACTGCAAAAGAGAGAAGTGCTCAGTTATTGTGTTTTGACCTATTAAAATTAAGCAACAGTTGCAGCTAAAACCAAGGACGATTATGGCTGGTTTGAAGGAATAATCACACAAACCAAATTTCTGCACCCCACTTATTAATTTTCGGCAGTGTTTAATCTTCAAATGCATCTCGACAAACATTGAACCAGTTACTACATTGGGTTTCTCTTTTTCTTGAACTCAGAATTGCACCAAATTAAGAGTTAAGCGGAAGGTTACTGAGAAAACCGGAGAACCAATGCAACTATTAAGCTGGGAAGAAAAAAGTACGAATTTTTCTTCTAACCTCATATGTCATGTTGTCAGGATCCACGCAATCTTGCCAAATAACCTGCATATTTTGACAACGTTTTGTAACATTTAACTTTGTGAACCATGAAACTGAAAATTACTACGATTTAAGCCTATATAACTCTACTAGTAGGAAAAGCATAGAGACAAACTTCAACATCTATAAAGCACAAAATCTTAGAAGATTGAAGTCGCTAAAATTAGATGCTGATGCATATAATCTACTGACATATATAGGCATGAAAATTCATAGTACAAGAAAGGCGTTGCACACATTTACTCAACAAAGAAAATAACAGAGAGAGACACCTGGTAATCATGAGCATCATGTTGTCTCCGTGGACCTGAAAAGTGAAAGAATTAGAATGACGAAACTTTTTCCGAAAATCCTAGACAACTCTTGTTATAAGAATATGATCACTTTATGACCAGAACTGGTGATAGAGAGAGAGAATTTTAGGGTCTGTTTGTTTCACAGAAAATAATTCCGGAAAATGAATTTCGTAAAATGAATTACATTTCCAGAAAATATTTTCTAAAACTCATTTTACGGTATTTGGATGATTTTGAGTAATTCATTTTCCACTAGTTGGTAAATTCTTTAAAAATTCTTTATTATAAACATCAAACACAATAAATATTAACAAAATAGTAATATTATTTTTAAAATATTAGAATAATCTATTTATGTCAATATTATTATTAGAATATTATATTTTATTAAAATAAAATTATTATAAATTATATTATTATTTAATTAATTATTTATTAAAATAATAATATTATTAAAACATTAAAATTTATAATATTAAAATTTGAATATTATATTATATTTTAAGTAGTATATATTAAATATTCAAATAATTCAATAATATTATTTTTATGAAATTAATAAATAATATTAATTTTATTAATAATTTATTATATATTATTAAAATAAAATTATAATAATATAATATTATATTTTATTATTAAAATTATCAATAAATATAATTAAATACTTAAATATTTTATTAATATGATACTAAAATAATATATAAATATTAAATATATAAAATAATAATATTTTGAGTGTTTATGCTTTGAAGTAGAAAGTTCGTAAAATGACTTACTAAAAATCAAATGGTAAGTCATTTTCCAGAAAATACAAAGGAAATTCAGTTGATCAGGAAAATGAATTACATTAACCATCTGTTTTTCGTCAATCAAACATTGAAAAATTAAGAAAATATTTTCCGGAAAACCAATTACAGGAAATAGACATACTCTTACTTCATGATGTTAAGAGAGAGAGGAGTAAAGACACCATCTTGGAGAAAAGCCAAAAACTATCATCAAGGAAAAACAGATTCTTTGGACAGCTTTGAAAATGCTGTAGCCGCTAAACTAGGACCTTTTATTTGGGACCAAACAAGATATAAATACAACTAATCGTGAGGCTCACTGAATCCTTAATCTCTCTTCAATCAAGTATGATTTAAAAGTTTAAAATCCATCAAAACAGAGCTGCTGTCTGGAAGTCAAAACTTGATTGTTAGAAAGCACAGCATCCAATCCGATAATAAAATCCAGAGAAAGCATAAAGTTGCAAATAATTTGACAATTCGTTAATGACCATAGAAAATCAAAGACCCGGGGAGAAAACTAACTAAGAAAAACAATCTTCAGAAGGATAGAGCTGTAAGAGGTACTAAGCTTAACACTTAAAACCATGTTGAATCATGGCATTGACATAAATACTTGGCCTAATTCTAAAAATACGTGTTATGATAGACATCATTATAAATCTTTTTTAGCACTATTACATGCCTTCAAACACAGAGCTGAAACAATAACCTAAAGCAGAATTGGGAAACTTACAATCTACTGAGTTTTCACGCGAGGTTGAATTTGTGTTTCTTTCCCATTCCACATTCATTGCTGCACTCTGTTGATTACTCATTGATGAGGAATTCTCTGACGCCCTTCTAAATTCATCAATGCATAGCTCATGGTTATTCACCTCGTAACTATGATCATTATCATGATCATAATATGAAATACTGCCAGAATCAGATAGGCCAAACTTGTAGAAGTTCGATGTCATTGGTGGGTACACACTCTCCTACATACAGAAATTCAACTTTTGGACGTGACCAATAGTAACAACCCGTTTACAAACTAAAAATAATCTAAACAGAGGATCAATTACAAACTCATCCGAAAAGTCAGCCTATTTTTTTTATCCGATTAATTTGTTCTTGAAAACACAAAGACATTGAAGGAATCACTTCAGTACATTCAAAAACTTTTTTTTGATAAAAAACGGTACCTGGGCATGGGTGGCACCGTTGAAAATAAAATTGACATGTTGATGAGTAAGACCTTCAAAATATTCCATAAAGCTGCCAGCACTGTTATAAGGGTAGTTACTGTGGATGTATTGAACCTCCATATGTGGATCCCAACTCATTTCCAAAAATCCAACAAATCTATAAACATAAAAACTGACAATTCAAATTTGCAATGAGCAGTAGAAACAACAATAACAAAATAATCAAAACAAAAAACATGATCTCCTAAAAAAAATCACTAACTACTAGTGCAT